GCTAAAAACCAAAGTAAAAATAAACACAAAGCGAAATGAAAGAAGAGATATATGACCCAGATATTTGTAAGTAGAGGCTTCTGCAACTCCCATGCAAGTTGATCAATTAAAATGCTTCTAAGGATGATATTGATAAAGGGTAGATAAATTTACTATGCTGGACAAACAATTGATGCAGATAATTTACATAGACTGAGATGAAGAAACTTGATATAGCCCCAACAATTCGTGTTTTCTTTTTCTGTTCGTGTAATTTCATGAGTCATAATTGTGTTTAAGATATTGAATATTTATAATCTTTGATACATTAACAAATTCACGTTATATCTATTTTGACACATTCATTATTTCGCGTCCTGTTCGTGTTATTTTTCTTGTCGTGTTTTCTTATCGTGATTTAGATATTTTTCCCATGTGATGGTTGTGCCGTGTAATTGTATTGTGTCCAAAGTTGTCAGGTCTAACTTGAAAAAAGAACTACAAACAGAAGATAGTATACACATTAGAAGATGTTCTTGCTAATTTAACATATGAACCAACTTACGATTCCTCTAAATCAATAACTTTAATAGCAACTTCTTTGTTCAACTCCTTATCAAACCTGCAAATCAAGAAAAGCATCAGCTATCCATCTCATTTTCATTACCATGATTCATTATTTAAACAGTCATATAGCTTTTGGAACAGTCATTCTCAAAGCCAATTTTAGTATATGCACATTCTTAGTGCAAGATCATCCAGCTGCTACAAACATTAGAAAACGAAATAAGAAAATAACAAACACAATTGAACAAAGTTATTATAATGCTCATAAATTTCAGATGTCTCCATATATTCCTATTTAAAGTGTATATGATTTGACAGTCGATTATTACTTGGTCAATCAACACCCAACAGCCCATTGAGCCCCCTTTACCCCAACTGACAGGAAGACAGATTTTTTCTTTATATTTCAAATCTTAGGGACAAGGTATATATTCAAGTCAAGACTTGATAAGATATCAACTCAACAAGGCATTGGCATCGATAATCTAACCCCACAAACACAAAGCAACTATAAATTAAGTAATGGTAAAAAAGTTTTATGATGTGCAACATAATTAATATTCAGTCACAATTCTCAAGTATGACTATCACATCAAAGTTCTTTTCTTATAACAAAATGCAATCAAACAATGCAACTGTACTGAAGCAATGTGATTGGTAAAGAAATCGAGATAACAGACTTGCGCTTTATAGACATCACCAAAAAATCCCCGACCAATCAGCTCCACCTGACTAAATCTAGACCCAGCTGCTGCTTGTAAACCTTCTACATCAGCCATTTCAACACACAAACTCCTTGGACACCAAGGATCAAAGCTACCCCAAAATCCAACCCCTCAAACCATTCACATTCCACACATTCTTCAATTACAATTCAATACCCACATTCAAATTGCCAAAACCAGTCTCAAAAACCCAATCCCTGAAACAGAAACGTTAAAAAGAAAAGAAAAACATTAATATTCTCAAGTAAAAGCTACACCTAAAAATAACAAAAACGAAAGCATGTCTTAAAACGTTCCCACATTTCAAGGTATAAAAAACACAACTAAAAAACCGACACAAAATAAATAAAGTTATAAAATGCCTATAAGCCATCACACTGAAATCAAAGAATGCACGATGGATACCAAAAAGAAGAAAAAAAATCAATAAAAGATAGGATATCCTAAAATTGTCAGGATAACATGAACAAAAAGAATTCTTACAACCCAATTAAACAACTACACTTTACAAATTCATTCTCCTTCGACAGTGGAACCACTACATCCCCAAGTGTGTCCAAAGAGAAAGAGAACAAAAAAAGCACAACCTATTTGTTCGAGATATTTTATTTTTTTTTGGTTTTAAGTTTACCTGTTGGGTTTTTGCAGATATTTCGGTTTCGTTGTTTCGATATTTGTCTCCCTCGGTTTTGTCAAAAGAGTGGATTTTTCAGAGCTTTGAAAGAAATCGATAAATAAGAGCATAAAAAATGTTTGTTAATGGAATTTCTCGATTTGGTATTTTACTCTCTTCTACTTGTAGATTTGAGCGTAAAGTGTACAGAGGAGGCTATTAAAGTAAAAAAATAGTCGACTATTTATTATGTTATAATTTCGTTTTTTTTTGTTAAGATATTAATGATCATATGATATATATATTAATATATTGATTGAGATATGATAGTCGTTTAAAATTATGATATTATATTTTATCATATCTTAATTAGCAGGTCAATGTCCAACTCAGACTTAAAAAATTATTTCTTCTTAATTAATAAATAAAAGAAATACATATTAAACATAATTAAGGGTCGATCCTCAAGGACGTGGAAAATTTAAATTTCTGTTTGAATTACTTAAATTAGATAATAAGTAGTCAAAGAGGGTTTTGGTAAAAATAATTAAGTAATAAAAAGTGATATAAAGTAAAAATAAAGACAATAAATAATGTAAAGTTGAAAATGAATACGGTAAAAATAACCTAAAGTCTCACTTTGACTCAATTTATTTTGGGTCATCGAATTATATTTTTTTATTCGGGATTCACGTCAGCTACTTTGTCTATATGGGTAATCTTCGTGACTCTATTTGTATATCGAATACCCAAGACAATCTTTGATTCCAGCTTCAAAAGTTGATATAATCAACATCAATTGTCGTAGATCAATAACCGTTTAAGTTCGTGAAGACCAATTCGAATTGTTGTTTCAATAACTACTAAGTCTGATCTTAATTCCCACTTGGCAAGGCAATCTCGCCAAGTGTGTTCCCAGGAAGTCGAATGTGCTTTCAATAAGCCGATCATTCCTCCCACACATTTAATTGTAACAATATCTTGACCAAATTCAATCTTTGATTTTGAAAACTATTTTGATTTTGAAAATAAGCGCAGAGATTGAGAGAGATATTCTGAAGTTATTAAGGTGCTTTTAATTTTCACGTTCAAATTGAGTCATCGCTTCAGTTCTCGGCTTATGAGAAAATTAGTTAAGCATGACAAAAGTCATACTTAGCATGTTTAAAAATAAAACTTAAAATAAAAATGAAAACGAAAATGAAAACTTGAAAATAAAAGAGAAGAAATAATTTTATAATAAAACTAGAAAGAATAAGAAGAATAAATTATGAGTTGTGTCTTTAAGCTTACCCCCACTATGGTATTTATAGCCTTTAAAAACCTAGAGATAAACATAGAAATTAAAATAAAAATAATTCTAAAGATAATTCCAAATATTTTATAAATTCAAACTTTAAAATCTAAAAATAAATTCTCCTAAGATATCTCTGTCCATCTACCTTCCAGAAAGTACTGACTAGATTTTCTAGAAAATTAATGTTGATTGGACCTTCTAGAAACTGTCACGTCAGATCGTGTCATGCCCAGCATCGTGCTCATGTCTCCAGCCGTGACCAAATAATAAAAAAATATAGAATATGCCATTTTTACTGCTAATTCTGGAAAATAAGATCTTACACGAAAATAAGCATAACATAATCAAATCAACAACAATAAATACATAAGATCGAAGATTTAACAAGAAAATATTATCAATTTAGAACACTCATCATTAGATTTTATCATAACTTAGTTAGCAAGTTAACGTCAAACTCAGACTTGTGTTAATATTTTTAACATAAAATAATGAGTTTAGAACATAACGAATAGTCGGGTTACTATTTTGTAACTTTTAATATTTTTAATTTTTTTATATATGATCATTAAATTGATTTTTTAACTTAATTAATAAAGTGCTTTTAATGAAAATATAAAAAAAATTAAATTTCAATCTTTTGAACAATTTAAGATATTATTTTTTTCATATATGAAATTAATTTTGAAATTTAAGACTAAAACTTAAAATTTAAAAATAATTCTTTATTTTTATTAAAAATAAATTTTTATTAATTAATTTAAAAAATAATTTAATGATTATATATAGAAAATTATAAAAATGTAAAAAATAAATATAGTTTAAAATATAAAAATCCAAATCACCTTTTTATTTAAAAACTCAATTTAATGATTATATACATAAAATAATATAAAACTTAATTAAATATGTGTTTTGACCTGCTGATTATATAAGGTGTATGTACTCTCCTTCATATTTGCACATTCAGTATCCCTAAAGAGCATTTTATTTATTTTATTTTCTATACTATTAGGTATAATAAATTATATAGGTAATGTTTAAACTATTGTCAAATAAGGAGAATGGCCCAATGGTTCAACAGTGCCTAGAACTTCCCTAAGTCTTGGGCTCGATCCCCTTGTTACATATTGTTTCTTCTATTTATTTTGTATTTAATTATATGGTGGCACGTGTAAAAATCTAATTAGGGACTAAATATTTAATTTTACTAATTAAAAAATAATAATTCAGTAATTTGATTGATAAAATTTTAAAAGCAATGTTAAAATAAAAATGGTCATACAAATAGTTTACCTTCTATTTTAAACATGCTCTTATTCTGAATTTTATCCTTTCCTTTATGGAAATTGAATATTTCCCCTCTATTTTAATATTTTATAATTTATTAAAACTGCAAAATTAGTCCAATTGTTAATAAATTTTTAAGATTAAACTCTTATCTTTTCATTGATTTACTAATATAATTTAATTGGAATCCCACCACAACCACTAAACTCAAAATTCAAGTCACTCAATGTCTCGACATTAACCAATTCCATGCTATTTTGCCTCAAAAGACTTGGAAAATAAAAACATCACGTAGCAGACACTCCTTCCAATTTCATTTCTTCACATGATGATACTCTTAACAATATAGCCTCAATTCCACACGTTTTTTTATGTTCTTAATTAAAATCGCAAACTCTGTCAATTTCCAAAATTGAAAGTTTTGGGTTTGAAGAGGGTTCTTTGGAGCTTCATGTGTGTATATCTCTATATATATAGTCATATTGACAACACAAAGATCAAACTGAACTTTTGAGCCAAAAACAAAGAAGAACAAAGTCTTCCAATTATGAAATTTCTTTCTCTTTTCTTAGTTTCATTAGCTTGCTTTGTTTGTTCGTCTCATTGCTATACCTTCTATGTCGGTGGGAAAGAAGGCTGGGTTTTGCACCCTAAAGAGAAGTACAATGACTGGGCTGGTAAACAGAGGTTCCGAGTCAATGATACACTGAGTAAGTTCAAGTGTTTTTTATTGCTTTTTTTGTTGGACTGTTTCTTGATTTGTATGTTTTCTGAGTTTGTTTTTGCAGTTTTCAAATATGAGAGAGGAGCGGACTCTGTTTTGTTGGTGAAGAAAGATGATTACTACAAGTGTGAAAGAAAGCATCCATCGATGGAAATGAGCAATGGAAGTTCTGAGTTTAAGTTTCATCATTCGGGTCCCTTTTTCTTCATTAGTGGCAAAGAGGGTCATTGTTCAAAGGGTCAGAAAATGATCGCTGCTGTCATGGCCGAGAGGCATGGGCCAGCTCAGTCACCCAAGCACCAGGGCTCATCGCCTTCCCCGACTCACTCTTCTGGGCACCATGACTCGTCTCCTTCCCCGACTCACTCTCCCGGGCACCACCATGGCTCATCCTCTTCCCCGACTCACTCTCCCCGGCACCGCCATGGCTCATCCCCTTCCCCACCTCACTCTCCTGGGCACAACCATGGCTCATCCCCTTGCCCGACTCACTCTCCCTGGCACCACCATGTCTCATCCCCTTCACCGACTCACTCTCCCGGGCACCATGGCTCATCTCATTCCCCGACTTACTCTCCCGGGCACCATGGCCATGTTACCAAGCCACCTACAGGTTCAACTCCGGGGCCGGCTCAGTCTCCTTATCACCATGGCCCTATTTCAAGCCCTCCCTCTTCGGTCCCAACTGGCTCACCCATGGCTCATGGTCCGACGCATTCACCGAGGCCATCTACTCATCATGCTCCACAGTACGGTCCTTCGCAGTCTCCGGTGGCTCATGGCCCTACTGCAAACCCACCTACAACATCTCCTTCACCAAAAGCGTCAACTCCCTCTGGTTCCTCACCGGAACCGTCTACGGGTTCAAGTCCACCGGCACCTCCGCAGGCTGTTTCTCCTTCTACCATTATTGCTCCTTCGCCGTCCGGTTCTCAGGCTCCGTCCGGAAGTCAAACCATTGCTCCGACCAACCGTTCATCTGCTACAGCGACTTATTCGAGTGTAGCGGTGCTTGCTGCTAGCGTTTTGTTTAGTATGATCGTCGTCTGTCTCGAGGGTGGATTTTAGAAATGTTTAAGTAATTATTAATGTTGTTTATTTGTGGATTCTTATAGTTGTTTTTTTTTTAATTTATAATTATGATTATTAAACATTCTATATCACTTTGTTATTGTTTAATGAATATATCTGTGTTTGAACATTTATAATTTTGCTTCCAAGTTTTATATGTTGATTTGTCCTTTTTACTAGTTTTATTATTATTTTCTTTATTTTAAAGTAATCAGTTTGCATTTGAGTCTTTGATAGTTTTTTAATATTTTTAAATGAAAATAAAAAATAATTGATATGAAATGAATTACTGATAGATAAAAGTTCATGTACAAATAATTTTTTATTCGTTATATTTTAATTAAAATTCATTATTTTGAGTACAATAAATTTAAATAGTTATTAAGTATATATTTTCTTTGAATAAAACAAAGATGAATTGCAGCAAGCTAAGTAGGAACTGCAGCATCTTCACGCATATAATCCGCAACAGTAGCAGGGCTCATTGAAAAATCCGAGATCCAAATGGTTAACTCCATGCCAACTTTGTCAAGCCATCAGCCACTTTATTACATTCACGTGGAGCGTATCGAATCCCGACATCCCAGTTATGATTAGCAAGCGAAGCGAATCCTTGGCCAGCCGATCCTCGTTTGAGCATCGTGAGAGTTTCTTTACTATCAATCTCAACAATAACGTTATGGAAATTCATGTCCGAAATTAATTTCAGACTCTCATAGATGTCCCATAATTCAACGTCAAGAATAGAACATATGCCAATCATTTTGGAGAACCCAGTAATCCATTCACCGGAACTACTTCGAATCGTACCTCCACAAGCAGCGATCCCAGGATCCAAATGATGAACATATCTAATTTTGAGATTTAAAAAATTATATATGCTTTAAATATTCTATAAAAACAATAAGAATACATTTCTAAAAGTTAATATTTATAAAAAAAATATTAGTTTAAAATAAACTTGGTCGTTAACATTAATATTATTATAAATTTGGTAACCATAAAATGTGATTTGTTATTTGCAATTGATTCTCTAACCTAATTTTCCCCTCAGTTAAAGGAATTAAAGGCCGGCAACCTTAATTATTGCATGCCATTGATTGTTCATCAACCTTTAGTTTAGGTCATGATTTCATGCATAAACTTAGAAATTTAATTTTACGTGATGGGATGTCAGTTTTACCAATCACAAATTGCAACAAATTTTATTGGTCCAAGATCGAGTCTTGACGATCTTTTAAGTAGAACAATTTGTTTAAATTCAAGTCTAAACAACCGTTAAAAGGAAACTCTATCAAAAATAACAGTAGAAGGATTTGTTTTAAATTTAGCTTTAAATTTACGTATACACTATATTTTCTTCTTTATTTTTATATTTTAATATATTCCATAATATGTTTTTTGAATTGAAAACACAAGTTCAATTACAAATAACATAGATATGCATGATTATAATTTATAAACGTTATCAATTATCATAAAGATTAGATCAAGTTAATTATTAAAATATATTTCCATACAATTTATACATACATAAATTTAAGTTAAATTTGTTTTTTTTTAATTATGATAAGGGTTTACAACTATCATCGTAAACTAAGTACATAATTTGAATATTTTCATATAACATTGATACAAGAAACTAATCACTTTAGATCATATAAGGACCATACGTGGAAAAGGTTAAAAATCCAACCAAAAGGCTTCAACGAAAAATATATACGAACAAATTTGAATGCATCGGTAAACGAATCACAAAAGGGAATTAAATTATTGAAAGACCATCGACGAACTACAAATCGGTGCTGTCATAAATTATCCACAAACACAAACTCGTATATCCAAATTTATTTTGAGGGTTTAGAGTGAAAAAATAGCAGAATAACAAATAAATATTATATTGATCAGTCATGTCATTGTCAAATCTAACCCTAAGAAAACATAATTAAAGAAACGACCAAACAACCAAGAAAGAAGATGAAAAAAGTGTCACAAAGATATAATATTCTTATTAAAAATTTAAAAAAGAAACAAAAAAAGTAATGATTGACCATCAATATCAAAATCAGTATCATTACTGATTAAACGAAATTAAAAAAAATAACCTAATATCCATGATTTAAAAAAAATTAACACATATCCATAATTTACATATGATGTAACACATACAATATATGTAACGTATAAATTTTAATATATTATTTTTTTCTTTTGATTAGATTAAGTTATAGGAGATTACAAAATAATATATATTTTAAGTTGTAACACCCCCAACCCGTATCCGATCCGGATACGAGTCCGAAGTGTCACATTGACTTTTCAAAACATTTATTCGTATAAAATAGTGGGTAATTTAAAAACTTTGATAACATTTAAATTATTTCAAAACGTTTACAACAGATATCATAGTTCATACCATTTATATCTTTAGACTACATGCCAACTACACTCTGTAAACAATACATACATTTTCTGATCTGACATTTGGTAAGGAGAACTGACCTGTCTTGCTCCGCATTACTCTTTATTCTTCTCGAAACCTACGTGTGAAACAATCACATGCTAAGTCGTTGACTTAGTGAGGCAATAATTAAACATATAACAATAAATTCATGAACGTGCATTCATACCATTGAATCATGACATTTCAATATGCATGTATCTATTGCATGATAACAATATATATAATCATGTCATACACACACGCAACATATCTTCTTGTATTACTTTCACTTTTCGTTTGTCTTCCAATTGCATTGCCCATGTATATTATTATCTTTATCAACATCATTATAATTCAAGCAACACATGACATATCACCATAAGTATATACATCACATATATCTTATACATTACATTCCATGTTATCTCTTATTAGCCCATGTGCACCTGTGAGAACTGTAGATATGTGAGTCTATTGAGGTTGTGCACCACTATGCTGTCACCACAGCTCATATAAATGTCCCGAAGGACCTATCCAGAGGTCACACAGACCCCGGTAACTATCCAGAGGTCATAAAGATCCTCGGTAACTGTCCAGAGGTCATAAAGATCCTCGGTAAACTGTCCATATGTTCCTTAGAACATAGGTATACTGTCCATATGTCTCGAAAGACATAGGTAAAACTGTCCATATGTTCCGTAGAACATAGGTAAACCCTCGACTCTTGGCATGCCAACTATACCCCTAGCTCTCATATCACATAACATGGGCATTATCATTTATAACATTTCATATCACTTGTTCTTTCTCTTCTGTCACATACCACATGTAGGTGTAACCATATACTTCATATCATATCACATGTATCACATATTGCATATTCATGTAATCATATAGATCATGTCACATGGCTTATATCATTCTCATATTCATATATATAGTTCACTTTCACATATCACATTTTCCTTTTCTCCTATTTTTCATATCATGTCTCTTATAACCACATATGTCTGTCTTATCTCATATCCTATAATTCTTTAGCTTATATCTTATATCACATGTTTATATCATATAACTTATGTAATCACATATACTATTTATACTAGTTCACATAGCTTATTTCACTAACATGTATTCACATGTACATTTCACTTTTCGTATGATTTCATAATCATCTGTCACGTAGCTTATAACACTTCTCTTGTGTTCATTTGGCATGTAACTCATTGTCATCTCTTATTCTCGTATGATTCTCATACACCAAGTATATCACATAGCTTGTTACCTATATAAATATTTTCTCATAACTTATCATCACATAGTTCCCATAACATTTTCCTATAGATTCATAAATCTTTACCATATGACTCATGTATTATATGTTCATTTCCGCTCATATATCCTCTCTATATAACTTATTTACATATTCATATAATCACTTCTGTCAATGTCTCCTCATTTATATATCATTCTTATATTGCCCTATAAATCAATGTTATTTAACTTATCTCACTTTTCATTTAATCTCATAAGTTGGTTATACAATTCCTATATATATATATCTAACTCATGTAATTTATATCCTTTCTCTTGTTATCATATAAATCATTGCCATATAACACATATCATATAAATTCATACCACCTAACATGTAATACAACTAAACATATTCATGTAATATAACATAATCATACAATCATATATTCAACATATTGGAAACAGACTTGTCGCAAGTCAAATTTCCATACACAATACGTATATTCTAATAGTACGCACTCACCTGGCCTCACTAGTCAATATCGATCTGTTATCTTTCCTTGATCGATCTTACTTGCCAAACGTTCCGGAGTTGCTTTATGCGTAGAATCTACATACATGTACATTTTGAGGCAATCATTAGATACCTACACCTTGTAATTGGATACTAGCAATTTAAACGAACTTATTAAACCAATATTCACATTTTCCTTTAGGGGGAATCGGTTCCCTACTATGGGGGTATCGATTCCCTCATGACATTCTGGAAATGTTGTTCGTTTGAAGGGGTATCGGTTCCCCTTGAATGGGTACCGATTCCCCTTGCCCAGAAATCATATTTCAACCCGAAAATTACTTCATTTCCACTCAAACACTTCATATATCATCCCCTTTTCATTCTTAACTCTAGTACACATACTTAAACCAATCTATATTCATTTATTTCATCTTAAACATCAAAATCCTATTATCCATATCAGATTCAAAAATCATACCAAATTTTCAATGTGTTCTAATTCCCATTCTAACACTTCATACTTCTTAATTAGATTGATGACAAGTCAAATTCATCCATAAAACTTCAACAACCATACCATATCAAAATTTCATCTTAAAACTCATATGGCAAATTCCTTCATAATTCCTTTATCTTATTGTTTAAATCTCATATAAGCTTTCCTTAAGCTTATTTAATACCCAAAGAATCAAAACTAAGCTTAAAACTCAAGAATTAACCAACTGAAATTAAACTTACCTTTGCCTTGCTCTCCCACGTATGAAGAAGAAGAAATGAGAAGAGCACTCTGGATGGTTCTCACATATCCCACGTTTATATTACCTTAAAAAAAATATAAAAATCCTTCTGGTCAAATGACCATAATACCCTTAATTTCCTTTAATAATTACCAAATAACCTTCAATATATATTCAAATAATCATTGAATTCCTTCATTCTTCTACTTTAGTCACCAAATTCTGAAACTTTACAATTTGGTCACTAACCCGGTATTGCGGATGTTACATAAGTACTCTCAAGTCTCAATTAATTGACAATGAACACTCAATCATTTTTATAATTATTGGTGTTCGAACTCATAATATCTAAAAACAACAATGATTCATATAACCATTAAGATATTTTAGTTAGTGCTTTAATTATTATGTTTTATCATATTGACGTTTATTTTTATATTATAATATTACAGAATGGGTTCAATAATTCAGGATAAGAAGCATTCATAAGCCTTCCAAACTTCCAACATTGACTGACAAAGGACTGTGCATCTCCTTTTCAAGTATTTGGGTTTGAGCACCCCATGCTGTTAAGACCCAAATTAAATTAAATTTTAATTTTCTGATAAAAACGACCATAAAAAATTCAGAATAAGCTGATTCAGCTTCACTTAACTCATGGACAAATCTTAGGGGGGGGGGAACGTTGAATAGTTATTGTAGATTTTATTGTCGTGTGTTTTTCTTTAATAGTAGAAATATAAATATAACCCAAATTATCATGACTTTATAGTTGATACATTTTATTTAAAATAAAAAAATGAATAAAATTTGACCAACAATGTTGATAAATTATATATATATATATATATATATATATATATATATATATATATATATATATATATATATATATATATATTTAAATTTATTGTGTTGAAATTAGAAATTTTGAACCCACTTTATTATCAATCATCTTCAACCCAAAGCCTGTGTCTTCCATTGTCAAGTTTTGTCACCTGCACCCATGAATCACTCAATCTATAACTTAATTATGCCAATTTGTATATCCATGTAATACCCATGATTTTTTTGGGGTGTGTTTTGAAATCGTGTGTAACTCTTAATTTGAAAATGGTTGCTTGCTGGATATATTCCCAGTTTGCATATCCGTGTAATACATAATGCATCAAAATCATATTTAAAATGTTATATGCTATATAAAATCTAATTATTTTAATAATTTGATACACTTGGTCTTGCCAGACATGTTATTTGCGTTAAGAAGACTAAAGAGGGGATTTGAGCTTTTCATAGCTTAAGAAATAACAATTTCCTCCTCCTGGATTTCTGCAACATAAACACAAATTATCAACATCAATCCCTTGCCAATTGCAATTAAGATTACACTGTTAAGTAGAAAAATTGCACATCAGCTAAATGAGGTGTGCCTGAACGCCAGATGCAGGAATGTTTTTTTCCAACTTTTTACATGTATTATGAGGCTCATATCCCCATACCAATGTCCGGATATACGTTGGACACTGATGCTTCAAGAAAAAATGAAGAGTTGAAGCAATATAACCACTGTTTGGACACGGATGCTTCAAGAAATCGGATATATGATTGGAGAGGGCAAATATATCATTTTTCGAGGGCAATCATATAGACCCTTACATGTGATAGAATGTAAAACGGGCCATTTAAAAAATAGCATAGAAAGATAAGCTCGAACCTTTAGATTTCCGTTTCGTGACTGTATTACAATTGGCTGAGGAAGGACACCGTTATCGATGTTCTGAATGTACGGACACACCTTTTCCTCCAACGTCTCGTTTAACTGAAGACCAAACATTTATGAGTTCATGAATAAAAGATATTGGTATGACAGTAACTATGTCCAGAAAACAAAGACGGATAGAATCAATTGTAGAAATGGGGGAAGAAGTTCTAAGAGAAAACAATGAAAACCACTGTTTTCCTACCGAAATGCATGAACCGGAAGATACTAACCTTCTCTTGGCGCCATTTGGTTTCCCACTGAGCATCTAGAAGTTTATCAGCAATCTCTCTTTGAGCATTAAGAAGAACAGTCATTTCATACAGTTTTGCTGGATCTTTCAGGTCGTCTTCACTCCATGAAGAAGCATTTAGGGGAAGATCCAGCCTCTGAAAACACTCTGCAGTTAGTCCTCTTATTAACATTATAATTTCTTTGTCTAACAGAAGAAATATACAAACTATACAAGATGGCAATACTGGATACTCAGTCACACCCCAGTTCCGTGGCCGGGGAGGAGGATATTTTTGTAGACTTTATTTTAACCCTGAACTTCATATAAAATTTTAATTATAGACTTTTTTTTTGTAAATCTAAAATAGTTTAAGGATAAATTTGTAATTTAATATTCGTAGAATTTTTATTATTCAATGACAGAAGAATGATATTTTTTAAAGAAAAAAAAAATTAAGGGCATTTTAGTCCAAAACGCCGATAATCCAACAATACCTAAGGAAATTGAGGTAATGACATTATCGGTAATATACCCAAAAAAATCTACTATTGGTAATAAAACATTACCGGGAATGAGATTCCCAGTCAACCAAACATGAGAATGCCACATTCCTTGAACCAAACACCCCCTAAGTGAAAATCATTTACTTCAACCTTTTCCTTTTCGCAAATATAAACACACACACATACATTATATCGAAGTAAAGTGAAGCATAATCCAACTCACGTTACGGTAAAAACGGAGCAGCATATATAATGCCAAGTGTTCTACAAAACCAGAATCCAATAAATGACGAGCAGAATCGACTACATAGCTTTGAAGAGATACTAAAATTGCACCTTTGACATATCACCTTCTTTCCCAGCTCTAGAGCAATATCATAGGTTCCCAAAGCAGCAATAGCCTGCAACCAACCATGAGAAAAATAACCAAAATCGATGATTCAAACTAACCTCCTCTAATTCTCAGAAGGGTAAAACATTAAAAGAACAACCAATATGGAACAGGAAGCCTAGTTTATCCATATCCTTCCAAAATTCATCATTTGTAAGAAACATATGGCAAACACAGACTATAGTTTAATTCCAAAATGCTTAATCTTGGAAATGTACAAACTGAAAATACTTTGAGACCATACAAACGTTCAATTAATAGAAAGCAGAAAACACCGAAGCTAAATGAACCAGCAGATAAACAAGTAAACAACTCGGTCACCCATTTATAAAGTGGTAAATTCCACTCTAAACCAAGAACCAAACAAAATGAAAAAAATTTAGCACCGATTTTGAAACCAATGCAAATGTCAATAGAACATCACTGAACAATAAACCAACAAAGCATCAAAATAGAAAAAGACCCAACTATCAATTTCAATACGAGTCAACGACAGATACCCTCAAATTTTGAGCATACAAAGGAACGCCAAAGCTCAAAACTTTTAACAGATTAAAAAAACCATTTCAGCAAACTATAATTATTATAACAAAACACGAATAAACCAATCAACAAAATGAAGAAAAAACACAAGGCAAAGATTAAAACTTGACATGGAAATATTACAAAGACAGAAGTATAGGAGAGCTTGGAGATAAACTCAGGAATGCCAAAGCCACGAGGAGCAGAGCCAGCAATATCAAAGGCAAGGGTGAAAGGAGAGAGCACTACTTTAATTGGGAGCTCTAAAATGTCAATAACTTGTTGCCCATATCTAGTTGTGAACAGCTTGTATTGGGAATCTGCAAATTGTTTTACAGTCTCTATCAGTTTCTCCGTTCCTCTGGAGATGGCTGTGAAAGAGAGCAAAGAGAAGCTGATAAATGAATGGGGGTGTTAGATAATGTTTCAGCTCATTGAGGGGTTTATTCCGGGTTTTTGGATAAACTTTTCTCCAATTTAGTTTAATCTCTGTAACCAAACACTTAAAGTTGTCTTTCATATTTCATTTAAAGAAGAAGAAAAAACCATGAATTTTGTTAGTTTTCAAAGAGTAAAATGTGATAAATAAGCCAAGTTTGTTGATTTATTCTTGCAGGATTTGGTTTTTGTTTTTATCGAAATTGCGTTTTTTTAATTTAATTTTATCCTAATTCAATCGGTACAGTACTTTACATTGATATATTAAAGAAGTCTACGATTTTAAAAATATAAAATTATAGTATAAAAATATCCTTAAAATTTATAATTTTTTATATTTTCTAAAAAATAAAAAAATTATATCTATTTTATAACTTCCAAAAGTTCAATACTCGAAAAGATCATTTTAGAACAGTTTAGTAACAATTTTTTTTAACTTTACCTTCTTTATAAAATATTTTCTTTCAATTATAAAATGAAATGTATACACATAAAATTATTTTTATTTATTATAAAACTTTAATAAAAAAAATCTTAAAGCATCAAGCAATAATAATAATTGAATAAAATTTAAGAATATAATTATCTAAGTAATTAAATCAATTCTCATCTCTATACCTATAAATTGAAAAATGAAAATGAAATCCTCGAATTATAAATAATTCAACGTAACCTTAAAGTTATGATGATTATTCAAACACATTTACGGTTGTGTAATTACGCTCAAACACCAATTATCAATTGGCTTAAAACTCAAACAATCTCTTTTAATTGCTTGTGTCATAAAAGCCTACAAATACCTAATGAGTTCAACAGAAAACTTCCCCTTCCTTGTAGTGTTTATTTCTCCAATCTGTACAAAACAAAACTATAGTTTATCAGCATGCTAAATCTAGATTACTCAGACTCGGTATATGTTTCAAAGACTCTCAATCATTTAACAATGAAAGCTCAAACACCCTTGCAGACGTTGTGCTCGAATTTGGGACCTTTAAAGATAACAATTGTATTTTAACTACTGAAATTGCCTGTTTCATGAGACATAAATGTTGGATACGGGTACTTCAGCGAAATGAAAACTCGGGAGTATATAATACTAAACTGATAACTCACCTTTAGCCTCCCTTTCCCACTAACAGAGACAACGTCTCCGGTCTTGAGGATGGTTCCATTTTTTGTTACAGTAGTCCAATTTACACGTACATCTCCATTGCTATAAGACAAAAACAAAACAGAAAAACGTGACTGTCAGCTCAATCCTTCATAAATTTTGCAACCAAAAGCTACCATACTCGTAATCGAATGTGAGTCTCAGATGCGGATAAATGTCTGAAACAAATATGCTCAACTTTTCATATATTTGGAAGATCATAGTCCCATATCCATATCTAAATAAATATCGGACACAAGCTCATAATATACATTAGCACATATGTAGATATACGTGTGTGTATAACAGTTGATTTTCCGGTGAGAAACAGGGGAAGTATACCTGATCAAATTAACTAGTTTAGATCTTGAAATCTTAAACCCTGCACTAGCAAGAGCATCAACCCGAAGTGATGCTTCTACGGTTTTGAATGACTGTGTCCTGCAAAAGCAACACAAAGTCATTGATGGATATCACAGCAATCGGTACGCAAGATTGAGATAGAAACTGATGAACACCATGAGTGATTGCAACCTTGGTGGCTCATATTCAAGAGAAAGCAGAGGTATCTGTGTACATGACACTGATACATTAGCAACCTGCAAAAGATAATGCATTAGAAAAGGGTCGGGAAGCTTTTCACCTGCAATTCTTTTTTTACTGCAATACGGCAAGATTTGCTCATGCCTTTAGAGACTCCATAACCGTTACAGCCAAGAAGTTAAGAGAATATGAGTGCTATTTACCGCAGAAGTGGAGAAAGATTTAAAATGATGTCATTAAGAAAGGTCATGTCATCGGACATTAATTTATTTGAGGAGGAAACAGTTCAGTTGTTCACCTTGTCCAGTGTCGACATAATAAAGTCAACGAGTTCGGGAACAATCAGGATCTGAGCTCCCTTTTCTCCCTAGATAACAGTTAACATACGTTAGTTTGGTACAATATTAGATGAAAAGAAAGATTTCTTGCAGATGTCGTGGTTAAGTGGGGAGACAGGCTCTTTGATCCAGATGATAAATGATCTTAATGAATGAAATTCAACCAGGGTTCTATACAGTAAAATCGAGTTTTACATTGCCTAGTCTGCAACTGACAATCTGAGTACCTGCAAAATAATATCCCCAAGCTTCTCTCTAGCGATACCTTTACCAAGAATTGCACCAAGGAAGTCACCATGAGAACAAGGTTGAAAGCTGAAGTTGCCTGAGATACTGACCAAAATAAATATGCAGAAATCTTAATTCAGGGTTTCAAATTCTGTCAAGTATTGACCGGCTTTTGATAAGAAGGAAATTTCTTACTTTATTGCTGCAACAACATCAGGATCACTGGTCAATACTTCAGAATGTCCAACAGAAATACGATAACGCTCAGCCTAGGGATCACGAAGATTCATCAACTTGTATAACTAAAGAAATCAACCAAGGAGAATTAAATTGAATCCCATTTAGTTCGACCTGAGGATACCCTCCCTGTGCAACCACTTTAACATCAGCCAGTTTTCCCAAGACTGTCAATGACTCCTTCAATACCGGAGGAGTTAGAAAATCCGTATGGTAGACCTCTCTTCTTGTTGCTGCACATCTTGCCTGAAAGAGCATAAATAAAGGTTAAACAGACAGAAACGACGAACTCTTTTACCAGTTCTCTATAGCAAAGAAAAATAATAATTAATCAGATGGATTTCACTAGGTACGGACCAAACCAGAAAAACAATGGGGTACTCAAGAAAGATACGGCAAAAGGGTAATGAGAATACCATATCAAGTATATGTTTCACTTCTTCGATAGCATTTTTATCTCCCACTCCTTTAAGTAAAACATCGTTATCCCCCTTTATAACTTGAGCAATGTGACATAAACCTGAGTAAGCATTTGTCAAAATTTTACATAGGATGTTATAGAATTAGAACATCGAATCTCTCTCGTATTCATCCCACTTAAACATGTAGGTACTTCCGAAAACAACTGAAAAGTAGTAAAAAACCAGGTTATGCAGGAGATAATCCTACAGCTTACTAACAATGCTACAGTAAAGTTTCAGCAGTCATGGGTAAAAATGGCTATCGCTAATTTTTAGTATGCAATAACTTCGTGATAAATAAATAGTTCTAAGAAAACTACTACTATAACTTGCCTCGTTTGTAAAATGTAGTTCTACGAACGATTCTAAGAAGTTGAATTGGAACTGGAATCAATTCACTCCTGACCACCTAGTTGTGCATCCAATTTAAGGATTGCAATATTCTGATATCAGGCTGAGGTTCATGACATACGTTATTCCCTTAAAAATGCATTTCAGAAATAATTGACATAGTGAAACAAAATGAAAAATATGCTTCATCCGAAGACTAGATCCTTAACATAAAACTGTACAAAATATAAACCTTTTAAAAGGAACCTTTTTTTTTCTAATGAAAGTGATCTAACTGATTTGCAAGTTCATTTGAGTGACAACATTGTTAAAATCCCAAGCTTTTTGTTGCATCCATATTTTTCTACACATGTGATCATTAGATTTTTCTAATTCAGCTAAATGGAACTCTCAAATTAATCCATTATTAAAACAAAAGTAAGAAGGGAGGTTGTTCAAAATCCCTCTCTTTTAGCTCAATGTTAATCTATAACAACAAAAGATTATTTCAAAAGAATCAAAACTAACCCAATTTTTTATTAGAGAATGTAAATTCTTCTACTCTGGCTTAATGAGCATAGTTGTACTTCAAAACTAATTTTTTTTAAAAAAAATTCAAATTATTCAACTTTAGCATAAAGGTTATCTCTAATTGCACAAGATTACTTCAAAGCAAACAAAAAAAAAAAGGTAATTTCTTCTTCTTTAGCTGAATGGGTACTTCGTTTACACAAATATTAAAACAAAACCAACGAAAAATATAAGAAATGAAGAAAAAAATCATACCAAAATCAAACGCGATAAAAAAAGACAGATTTTCGTTTTCAAACCTAAACTTCTGAGCGGATTATGAAACGGAAAAGAGCGGAGATTTCCATAGAAGGAAAGGTTTTTGTTGAAATGAAGAGGTTGAGAGAAAGCCAAAGCCTGAAATGCTCTTCGAAGAAGCCATGGTGAGGGGATGCTTGCGGCAGCCATTATTGTCGTTTTATTCCGTTAACAAAACTTGTAAAAGAATACCGTCCTAAAACGCTAAATAGTGCACTGTTTGACTTGGATAAATTAACTATTTAGTCCTTAACTATTTTTTCTGTGATCAAAATGAAATCAACCTCATAGTTTATTGATCAAATTGTGAATATACCCTTTTCGCTTTTTCTGCAAAAACTAAAAATAATATTAAAATATATTAGCATTTTCTGTTGATAATTTTATTTTCAGTCTGTAGGGATCTTAATTATTTTAAAATTAAAAGAACGAACCTAACTAAGAACTTAGCACATATTTAAAAATTTTACTTATTTAACTTTTAAATTATTTTTATCTGTATAGTTTCTCATACATATCCACGCATTAATATGATTAACTTTAACTTCTCATTGCAATTTGTCAAACGGGTAGAAGTCAAAATTTTAAAAGTACTACAAACCAAAAGTAGATGGTTTTGGTCTCAGTAAAGTATTAAGACTGAACTACCAGCAACATTATGAGATTTAGTACATCCCTAATGGGATGCAACGAACGAAATTAACTAACTTTAACCATTATCAACCGATAAAGTCTGCCTGTATAACTCGGTTCAGTTCCGGTTCGAGTTTAACTTTCTTCACGCAAGATTATAGTAACCCAAAGCTACAAGTACCAACACCACCACTGCAGCAGGGGCAGCCCACATCCAGTAGTTGGTCGACTTCTTCCGTTTCAGGATGGGCCTCGGAAGTGAATCGCGACCTTTAGTTCGGTTCCTGTACCTTACGGTATTCTCCTTTTGAACTTTATCCTTCACCGCAGCAGGAGCAGGAGCAGGTGCATCGGCATTTTCAACTTTTTCAGGTTCTGGAGCCTCCACCACAGCTTCGGACAGTTCCTCAGGGTTTGCACCGGTTGTAGATGCTGCCGCCTTCTTCTTTGCCTTCTTCTCGCGATCCTGAAATTGGGGAAATCAAAATAAGATCAGTTTAGATCCGCAAACAAATTATCGACGAGCAAAACATGATTAAAGAATGAAATAATTTCCTTGAGCTTCTTTTCAGCTTCCTTTTGAGCTCTTATAGCTGCTTTGGCTGCTTTTTCTTCAGCCTTCTTCTTCTTCCTTTCCATAGCTTGCTTCGCTTTTGCTATTTCCTCTTCTCTTTTCATTTCTTTCAGTTTTGCTGCGTCAATTTCCTTTTCAGCAGAAGTCTTTTCGGCTTCCTTTTGCAAGTTGTCGGATCCAGAGATCTCTCTCTCTTCTACGGCACCATTCTTGGGAGAAGATTTTGATTCAACTAATTTCATGTCAGCATCTTTCTTACCCTTTTTTGGCTTAGTGCTTGGTTCAGGAGAGGGTTTGGCTTCTTCTTCCTTTGGTTGTCGGACACTAGGTTTTGGAATCGTTTCAGGTGCAGAAGGCACTGGTACCTCTTGTACAACCAGTGGTTTCTCATCGGGATTCCTTATCCGACCATCACGACTTAATTGCCTCTGGTTCAGGGACAACGAAATCCTTTTCTCATAATCGTCCCTGACGGCTTTCTTGCTGCTCCACAGAGCCAAAAACTTCTCAACCTACACACATTACAGGATATAAGAGGAGCCAAAAACTATAGCATAGGAGATACTCGAGGCGTAACATTAACCGGTATTCTGAACAAACCTCAACAGTCGAAAGCTCCTCAAGACCCTTTATATCCTTCTTTGCTGCAAGCTCTTTGGCTTTGTTTAAGAGTGATCGGCTTTGGTAAAAGTGAGCATTCTGAAATCGAAAAACAAATGTAATTAAAACGGGACAACAACTGAAACTGTTCTAAAAAGTTTCATCATGAAAAACCCGGATATACATATCGAACAAAAAAAATCATGATATAATCAAAATCACGGCAAAACAAAATCAGAAACGACAAAAAGAAATGTTAAAATCAAAAACTCCATTTGTAGGCAGAGCCAAGAAGAAAAAATCCAAATGCAAAAGAGACCTATCTGTTCTGAGGCCCATATAAAAACAAAAAGAGTAAAAAAAAAAGGTAGAGTATCTCATTCTCACCGGGGCAAAAAAAGATTCAATTTAAAGCAACTAACGACATACCGCCTCATCACGTTGTTTCCACAGTTGCTGCATGGTTTCATAAGCTTTGTTCCTCTTCTGGATAATGGTGTTCAGCTCTTCCTGTAAAGCTTCAATTTTACTCTCTATCGCACTCACTTTTTCTTTAATTTGCTTTTTCTTAGACCATATCGCGTTTTGTTCCTTCCTTACTCCATCCAAATCATTACCCATAAGCTACAATGAAACAAATATAGCAAGTTCATTAGTCTAATTTTACAATAGTCTATACTTGGATAGAGAAGGGGAAATGCAAATTCTGACAGATAAATGGTGCAAAACAGAATTTTCTTACTTTAACTTGATCTTGAATGTCTTCTTTCTGACCCAGTGATTCCTGAATCTTTGTCCTCATCGCCGCATTGGCAATAACATTGTCTCGGGTTCCCTCTAGTTGTTTGATTTCTCTAAGGAGCTGCTTCTCCTCGGACAATGGGATGCTTTCATGCTGGATGCGATATTGCAAGCTATAGATCTGCAATTTATCAATTCTGGATAAGTGCCAAAAAGAGAAAGAGCAAAGGATTGACTGCAGCTGAAAAACAATGCTTAAATCTCAATGCGGTTGAGTTTACAATAGTAGCATACAAGATCATTCAGCTCTTCCTCAGAAGAACATATACCACCACGACCTCCACCATTGTTATTATTGCGAAGCTTGCCCAAAGCCTGCTGCAGGGGTTCCATTTCCTTCTTTTTCTCACCTAACATCGTCTTAAACTGCTCGAAATCAACATTCAGGGCTTTCACTTGAGAAAGCAGCTCTGATCGATCCGACTGCATTAACATAAAGATAATATTTTAAACGGCAGCAGCATAATGACTTTAGAAGTACTTTCGCAATTTGAGGCAAATACATCAATGAGGAACTGATATACTAAATCCCATTCCGCACTACGAGTAAAAAGCAATATCATATATGCAATTACTAAGTTCATGCTCAAGGACTTGTGATTTCAACATTCAGATAAATGAGTCCGAGGATTTAATGTTTCTTCGTCACAACATTAATGTCACCTAATCTATAGAAACCAATGAAAAAGCAAAACAGGATGGCATAAAAATATCTTAAGAGCACAAAAATTAAACAACAGTTAACACACCGGTCAACCGGATATCATATTCGACACTATTTTATTGATCTAGTTTTAAACCAACAATAATGCTATCCGACTAAACAAAATTAATTGCACTCCACTCACCTTGTACGATTTTAATTCATCAGTAAGCTGAAACCTGACTTTATTCAACTTTTGCATCTCCTTATCAACCTGATCGATTTTGGCCTTTATCTTTGGATCATCAAAAGGGCGATACCTTACAAAATAAAAAGAGTGGATCTGCTTAGGCGCAGGCCAGTCAGCAACTGCATCACTCGGAAAGTTAGCATCAGATACATTTTTCTCTTCTCTCCCTTATTTGGTTCCTCGGCATCGGAACCGACTTTAATGGTTTCACTATGAACCGGATCCTTGTCCAGTTTCCCGTTTTCCTTATCGTGAAGAAGTGACTTGTCAACTTCAGTTGCATTGTCAACAGATGCTTTTGCCATTTCAGATCCCACAACTTCAACACCCATTAATCACTGGACAATTAAAGACCTAATAATATCGAAAAACAAGGAGTAAAATAACACATAGTATAACAATATTATACATATCATTCATGAAGCAAAAATAAAAGAAGAAGATCAATCTAAAGCTATGTGTTTTGCTAGATTTTTGAAAATTGGATTAAAAGAGTTGAAATCTATTAGATAAACAACAGATGCTTCAGTTCTTTTCCTTTATTCTACACGAGATCTTTATAAACAATATCAAATCGGATAAATCGAACAACAAATATAGATTATTGATCAACTACAGTAGAATAAAATCCGGATAAAAAATTAAACGAGAAAAAAATAAGTTATAACAGCAAGATCAAGTCTTTATCTATTAAAAAAACTAGCATGCAAATCAATAACGAAACAATTAAGAATAACCCATAATTTTAAAAAAGCAAAAAGAGAAGAAAAAAAAGTCAAACAGATCAAAAGGAAAACAAAAAACCCAGAGAGAAAAACATGAAAAATGAAAGAAAGATTAAAGGATTACCCTTTTAGAGAGATTAGTAAGAGAGGATAAGGGAAACCCTTTGAAAGAGGGGAAAAGGGGTCTTGAGAGATTTTGGCGAAGCAAAGGAGAGATGGGGTCAGATCTTAGTCCCTCTCTCTTCTGATTCTTTTCAAAGAGGAAAGGAACTACAAGATAGAAACTCTAGATTTAGAATTATACCAAGTATTAATGACAGGTAAAAATGAAAAAAAATAAAATTAAAGTGAGAAAATCTAGTAAAAAGGATTTGGCTTTGGTGGTTTTTCCCCTGTTTCCAATTCCTACAAGCAGTAAAACAAACCGTTCAAAGTTTTTTTTGTTAGTTTTGCTGTTTATGGAGTTCCAAAAAAAAATTTATTTTTATTCTTTATATTAATAAAAAAATTATTACAATAGTTGATATTTAATTTATTAATCGGTGAATTAAATTTAAAAATATATTATTTTATTTAAAAAATTGTGATATCTCATCCTATTAAACATTATATGTTTTTTTCTTTCTTTAAAGTTATATGATATGTATTAACCGAAAATGGCATATGTCCAACAATGCATAATACAAGTAGGATAAGCATGATTAAAATTCAACGATGAAGAGGTAAGAGAGACATAATTATCTAGCAAGAGCATATGCGCCATCTGTGGAACGATAGATAGATTGAATGCGAATATGAGGATGAGAACGAAGCAGACATCGAACTTCATCAAGAGTGAAGTGTAACACTAACGCCTGACGGATTAGAGTGTGGTGCCTCTAATGGTCTGTTTGTTTGGTTGTAATTGTTTTTTTTAAAATAAATTACTGGAACTGAAAAATAAATTACTAGAATTTGAATTCTGGAAAATGAATTATATTTCTGGAA